CTGTGAACTTCACTTTATGTGTTTTGTACAACATATTTACGTCTATTGGTTACAATAATTTTAAGCTGTAATAAAAATTTTTTTCGTAAGTTATTGGTTTTGAATTTTTTTTTGTATTTTTGGATTTATTGTTTTTTTTACGTGGTTTCCTTTATGAGGTATTCGTTTCTGTCCATATATTTTTGTGCATATAAGATGCGAATGCAATTAAAATTATTATTATTATTAAGGTATATTGAGAAATTGTATATGTATTATATTATAATTAGTATACGTATATATGTATGTATTTATGCTGATGCATTTCAATTGATTGTAATTTGTAGCAAACATAGCACTCGCACCTCAAAGGGTTAGTTTCTTTGTTTACAGTTTTTTGACATTATAAATAGCTACAAGAGAGTTCGAGGTAGTTGTCACAATGTTGCAAGCAAATAATAAATGGCCAAATTGCCCCCAAAATATATGTAAATACTTCCAAAGGAGCAACACATAAAACGTTCAACGAATAAAGGCAACATTGTGAAATATAAGGCAGCCGAATGTCAGAAAATGGACAGAGAATGCTGCTTTATTACTTCACCTGTTTATTGCGCCATGGTTGTCACTTCTACCTTATTAAAAATGCCTTGATTGGTACCATGATTCAATAATAAAAGGTTTGCTCAAAAAACAGTTTTCTCGCTCCCTCTTGACAAAATCGGCTCCCTTAGCAAGGCACTGTGTGTGGGTTCGTGTGTGTGTGCAACGCTTTTGTAAGGAAGCTAAGGGAGTGTCAAAACTCTAATGTCACTAATGAGCAAACCTTTAATTATTGAATCATGGATTTGTACCATGGTGAAATAAATATAAGGTGATGCCACTTACATAACCTCACTTTTTCTGCATGCCAATTGCGGCCATGCATTTTGGGGTAGTAGAAAAAGGGGGAAAAGATTAGGATTATTTTTACTACTTTTTGGGTACTATTTCCAATACATACATATATCAGTGGACCCCACATCAGTTAAATGAAACTTGCATCAATAAAATATTTTTTCTGTAAGCCAGTGTAATTACAGTTTCAATTTTTCGCTCAAAAGAAATTATTCTTACTTAATTTTTATTTTTTCGATCAAATATATTGATTTTAATAATTATTATTCAGTTATATTCTTCTACCTTAAAATTATTATTTGTAAAACTTTAAGGCCACACGGTCGTACCGCACAAATATGGTTAATACTTAAAAAATAAGGACTATTTTCCGTCTTTCATTTATTCATATTAAAACAAATTAAATTATACCGTTCCCTTTATTTAATTATTCTTAAATTCTACTAAAAATGACACATTAGCCCGTATGGAATTTCATTTGTATTTTTTCCTTAATTTTATTAAGACCTTTATTTTCGTTAACATTTAAAAATTGAGTTTCTAAATTCTATCAGTTATATTATAAAATCATTATGCGTTTAAATTGTTAGACCAAAGTGCATTATCGTAGCCATCTGATGCATTGCTCCAATAATCTGCTGGATATGTACAGTATATATTTTTNCGAATAAAGGCAACATTGTGAAATATAAGGCAGCCGAATGTCAGAAAATGGACAGAGAATGCTGCTTTATTACTTCACCTGTTTATTGCGCCATGGTTGTCACTTCTACCTTATTAAAAATGCCTTGATTGGNGTTATATTATAAAATCATTATGCGTTTAAATTGTTAGACCAAAGTGCATTATCGTAGCCATCTGATGCATTGCTCCAATAATCTGCTGGATATGTACAGTATATATTTTTTCAAAAATTTACTTACAAAATCGCAATTATTGGAAATTATCGCTCAAATTTTCCAATGAATTTGAAACGAAAAGTCAAAGCAAAAGCGAAACGAAGAAACAGTTACTACGTTTATACGTAAGCAATTTGCAAACAAAAATAACTTGCAAATACCTAACTCACTGTTTATTCGATGGTGAAAAATTCTTTTTTAATATTGCCTGATTATAAAAAAGCCCATATAAAATGACCATCGAAAAAAAAATAAAGTTAAAAATGGTCTTGATTATTAAAAGGCAATAAGATGACCATCGAAAATGAACTTAAGAACGGCGGCGTCTTGCGCTTATTTGCAAATAGTACCACTAATCACTACTTATTTGCGTGATTTAGTTATTTGCAAATAAAAAGTTAACTCAGCGTTTATACGGCAAAGTTTAGCATTTTGCAAATTGTTATTTGCAAATAATACGTGCGTATAAACGTAGTAAGTGATAATAATAATAATAATAGATTGGCACCTACACATATGTTAGTGTTTGGCCGAGCTTCTCCTCCTACTTGTGGCGTGCGCCTTGATGTTGTCACACAAAGCGGGGGGACCTACAGTTTTACGCCGACTCCGAACGGCGATTGTATTTTTACGAGAAGCTGTTTTTCATGGCAGAAATACACTCGGAGGTTTGCCATTGCCTGCGAGTAAGTGATAACTATGCATAATTATTTCACAAAATTGTGTGCTCCATTTTTTTCCATTTTGCCCAGAAATGAAATTGGAATGAATAGATTAGGCATTACTGTAACGCTACTAAGCCGAAATTGCCAAAATTACAACAACCAACCCCTAAGTGACAACACCTTATTATTATTTCACCATGGATTTGTACCATGATTCAATAACACAAGGTTATGTAATTTGTGACAGCTAAAATTTGACACTCCTTTATCTAGATTTGTATTTTGGATGTAGGAGAAAGGGGAAGAATGTGGTCGCCTTTTGCGAAAACGATAGTAGAAAGGTACTAAGAAAGTGCGCAAAGTATACAATTAGAAGTAAAATGTGTATTATTAATTATATGTGAATTTGCAATATATTTGGTGGTTTAATGGAAATACTAAGCAATACGTAAAAATATAGATTTTAAGTTAAAGTTATTCGTCATGTCCTGGAGCAAATCTACAATACCGACCGTTCAGCTATGCAAAAACAAAAATGCAGATCAATAGAACTTTTTACGCTCATTTTAACCATGCCAAAATTATTTAGCACAAGTAAAATATAAAGACGTTTAAGAAGGTTACAATTAAATTCTTTAATTTTTTTTTAAATATTAATATCTTATGAACCACATAACCGATTAAAAAACTAATAACATCACCATAAAGATAATCAGTTTATCTTTCAGTTGATATATATAATTGAAATTGTTTTTTATATATTTAAACCAAAACAACTAAAAAACGAACATATCGTCACTAGACACGAATAAAGGCGCGAGCTCAAAAGTTGACGGCGAACAAAGACGCATAAAAATACTTTAGCGTCAAAGACTCTTAACATACTTCGCCGAAGTTTTTCATAAGCATCTTTTTTCGGAAAATTTTTTTACGCGCCTTTTTTCGCCGTCAAAATACTAGCACGCCTTTAATCGTGTGTTCCATGAAATAACCTTTTTTGAAAAAAACTGCTTGATTAATGGTAAAGAAATTTATATTATTTAGAAAGTACAAGCTATTATTTTTAATGCGATATACACATTTTATCATGATCTACTTTTGGGTTTTAAGAATTAAGTGAAATAAAAAAATATGTAAACAAAGCAAATAAACCTCTTATATCTTATTTGTTTTTTACCTGCGCCAAATAAATTTGGTGTCGTGGAAATCAGCGTAAAAAGTTCTATCAATCGCCATTTTTAGTTATTTTATAGCTAAACGGTCGCTATTCTAGACTTGTTCCGGAAATTTACGCATACGAAGGTGATGACAACGAATATTTAGTATGAAGAAATTTTGGTTTTACTACTAATATAACTAGAAACTGTAGAGTGAGCAACATTCTGCACAAATAAAGGAGCCGATTTTATGTGTGGGAGCGAGATGACTATTTTATGGATTTGTACCATGATTCAATAATAGAAAGGTTTTGTAATAAAACAGTCTTCTCGCTCCCACACATAAAATCGGCTCCTTTACTTGTGCAGAATGTTGCTTACTCTATAGTTTCTAGTGATATTAGTAGTAAAACCAAAAATTCTTCATACTAAATATTCGTTGGCGTCACCTTCGTTTGCGTAATTTTCAAGAACAAGTGTAGAATAGCGACCGTTTAGCTATAAAATAACCAAAAATGCCGATTGATAGAACTTTTTACGCTGATTTCAACGATACCAAATTTATTTGGCGCAGGTAAAAGAAGAAGGTATAAGAGGTTTATTTGTATTTTTTATTATCACTAAATTGTTGACACCCAAAAGTAGATCATGATAAAATATGTAATATCGAATTAAA